CTGGGCGCGCCGGCGGGGAGCGTGTTCTCGCCCCGAAGAAGAGGCGCACTGGAGAGGAGAGAAGGGGAGAGAGAGACCGGGGCAGAGCGCCAGAGACGCAGAGAGAGAGATCGAGAGGCGTAAAGAGACACAAAGAGAGAGAGACGAGTTACAAAAGGGTGGAGAGAGAGGCGCAAGGAGATGAACGGAGAGCCACAGGACAGAGAGGGAGAGACACAGGGACACGGAGACAGAGAGACCCAGAGACACAGAGGGACAAAGACTAAGAGAGACCCCCCCCCACACACACACAGGGAGAGACAAAGAGATACAAAGACGCAGAGATCTGTGAAGAGATGGAGATAAAGGGACTGAGCCAGAGAAGCCCCCAGAGGCGCTGCCCACATTGTCCCTCCCCCCCGGTCCATTCTCTCCCCAGTTGGCGGGCGGGGGGGGGGGCAGGGGAAGCTCTTCCCTCGGAGGCCTAAGGATGGGGTGGGTCAAGGGGATGGTGTGCAGGGCTTGGCCAATGCTGAGGGCTCAGCGACCTCCCTAGTCAGGCCGCCTCCACCAACCCACAAAGCTCCAGACCCCCAGGTTGGGGCTGCAGTATCCTCTCCTCTGCACCCCAGCTGGGGACCATCTCTGTCCACCTGTATGACCCAGGGCAAGTACTTGCCCTTTCTGGGCTTCACTTTCCCAGTTTGTAAAGTGAGAGGAAGAATCCGTGTGTTGCTCACTGGCAGGTGCGAAGGAACCCTGTGCAGGTATTCGCCTGCAGGGCACGGCCACTCCCCATGCGGGCAGACTGAGACCAGAGAGGACAAAGGCCTCTCGGAGGCCACACAGCGCTGTGGGGACCATCCACAAGAAAAACGGGCATTACATAGTCTTGGCCTGGGAGTCACACGGTTTTGGGAAGGGGTCTGTGCCCTGCCTTCGTCTGAGGGCCACTTTCCTGACCCTCAGTTTCCCCTTCTAAAACAGCAGTGTGCTGGATCTGGCTGGAGCAAGCTGATTGTTATGTCTCAGGAATTTTGGAACTGGTTGTTAAACACAGCCATTATTAAAAATTAAATTATGCAAACATACAATTAAATTATATTAAAAGTCCAGGTAATACATACTCATCACGTCCTAATTATCTTACTACATTTGCCATTATCTGTGATCTTGAGGTTACTTACATCTATTGTAGCTGCACAGTAAAAGTACTATATAATGGGGGGCAAAAATGCCTTGTGACATCACCTTGGTAGCTTGAAATTAGCCATGGTGGGAGTATTTACACCATGGAAATTGGCAAATGCTACAAATTAAGGCTCCCCACCCCCATCTGCAGAGAGCTGGGGGTGTTTTGTTCTGCTTTGCTATGTTTTGTTTTTGAGACAGGGTCTCACTGCATCACCCAGGCTAGAGTGCAGAGGTGCGATTATGGCTCACTGCAGCCTGGACCTCCCGGGCTCAAGCAATCCTCCCAGCTCAGCCCCACCGAGTCGCTGGGACTACAGGTGTGCATCATAATCACGCCC